ATCCCCGCCCCACCCTCCTCCTGGCTCTGTTCCTAACCCCTCTCTCTGCTGTGTTTAGTGCGGCTTTGGATGTGGAGCTGTCGGATGATTCTTTCCCCCCAGAAGATTTTGGCATTGTCTCTGGAATGCTCAACGTCAAGTGGGACAGGATCGCACCGTATCTTTTCGTGGTTTGAAATGGTCTCCCCTCCTGCCCTGTTATCCCCGCCCCACCCTCCTCCTGGCTCTGTTCCTAACCCCTCTCTCTGCTGTGTTTAGTGCGGCTTTGGATGTGGAGCTGTCGGATGATTCTTTCCCCCCAGAAGATTTTGGCATTGTCTCTGGAATGCTCAACGTCAAGTGGGACAGGATCGCACCGTATCTTTTCGTGGTTTGAAATGGTCTCCCCTCCTGCCCTGTTCTAGATCATTGGGCTCCCCCTTGTTCCCTCTGATTCCTGAGGATACTTAGATGCTTCTAGCTCCAGACGTCATCCCTGAAGTACACACACACCTGGCTTGTGACGAAGGCTTTGAGGACAAACCCCAATAAAATGCCCTGGGATCTCCAGTGTGTCTGCAGACAAGATCCAGTTCTCAGGTCAAAGAACACACAGCCCCCTTGTACTGAATAACCATTCACCTGTCAGGGCAGGAGGAGTGGATGAGTTACCCCTGTAAGGCTACTTCTAGACTACAGGGTCCCGCAAAACCTGTGCTGTGTCCGAGGAACGCGTTTGCTCTTCCATGAGAAAAAAGCAGAAGAGCAAATGCACTCTTTTGGGGAGCCCTGTATACCTCGTTTCATGAGGCATAAGGGCTCTGCTGAAAGAGGAGGCTTTCCCTGTCTAGACGGAAAAGCCTCTTCCGGGGGAGGGGCGGGGGAGTAGAAAAAGCTACGCAAAATATGGAGCGCATTTTGCGTAGCTTTTTCTGCAAAAACGTTGCAGTCAAGACCTAGCCTAAGAGTCTGAATTGATAGTTGCCTGGGTTAAGATTTCAGACCTGCTGGTGAGACTCACTGTGTTCTGCATCCTCCTCTCCTGGGACAAAATGCGATTTGTTTCCTTAACCATCTGCTATTCAGAGCCAGCAACGTATCTCACACAGTGGTCCTGAGGCCCCTCAAAGCTGGCTACTTCAACTTCACCTCGGCTACCATTACCTACCTGGCACAAGAGGGAGGGCAGGTTGTGGTGAGTGGTTAATACCTTTCTAGTAGTACAGGATCGTGTACAGGGTCCTAACAGTGGAGATACAGAGCGTGTGCTTCCAGACACAAGCATAGAAGGATGGTAGATGGTCTCCCTCTCTCTTCTCATTGGGTGCTCACCATGGAGCGGCAGTGGGCAAATGCTGTCTCTTTTCCATCCCATTTCAGGTTGGCTTCACCAGTGCCCCTGGACAGGGTGGAATCCTGGCTCAGAGAGAGTTTGACAGGAGGTTTTCCCCTCATTTTGTAAGTACCATTAAGCCAATAATCCCTTTTCTCATAGTGACGGTGCTGTTCGATCAGCGTTGACCTTTTTTTGGGTGCTGGTTCCTGGTGTGAAAGCAGAAGCCAAAACACTAAATTAAAAAAATACCTGGGAAATTCTCAAGCTGGCGTCTAAGCTTTTTGGGACAATTTCTGTGAAATCTTGCAAGAAAAGTGAAATGTATCATGGTCTGTGGTCACGCTGCTAGGAATGATGATAGAGATGCAGCCGTGTTAGTCTGTTTTTTTGCTAGGAATGAGTCTGTGTTAGAGGGATCGAACCAAAACACTTGGGCAGGAGGGCTCGGGTCTGAGGAACTGGGGGTTCACCAATGCATGACCCATCTCGACTCTTCTTCTAATTGGTTTTCCCCTTCTGCTAGCTCGACTGGGCAGCTTTTGGTGTGATGACCCTTCCCTCCATCGGAATCCCCCTGCTGCTGTGGTACTCAAGCAAGAGAAAATACGATACCCCCAAGACCAAGAAGAACTGAGCAAAGCCAAGTGTAGCCAGCACCCCAGAACTCAGGAACCCCACTTAGAATTACAGCGTACTCAGAGAATCAGCAATCAGCCCTCCAGATCAGTGACTGGACTGGCAAGGGAGGGGTTTGTATCATTCCTGTTGCCAGGGATAGGTCGCTTTCTTGGGTTTCTTTAAACCCTTTCTTAACAGTTTGGGATCAAAGACCTCTCCGGTTCTGTTGTAATGAAGTTACAGATGCAGCTGCAGTCGCAGCATGCTAATGCCACCCAAGAAGTATGTGTGTGGGAGCTTTTCTGTAGCATTTGCAGGATCGCCACTGCCTGCTGAATGCCAGTCGCACGTGGCCAGACATCTTCATGGCACAATCCCCCCGATCTTGGGTCAACCCGTCTCCCGTGCTCCCCAGCATATTGTGCTTAGAACGGTCACAAAGGGTTCATGGAGTGAGGATATTGGAGATCTCCTTTCTAGGCACGTTGATTAACTCCATTCCCTCTCAGCCAAGCGGTGGCATATAAACCCCCTAGAAAAATGCCTGCCCCATAAGGAATGTTGGCGGCAGTGTTGTATTTCAGTGAGCAGTTGACTGGTGTTTCTGTTTTTCTGGTTACTCTGTTGAGAGATGTGTGACTGGACGTACCAAGGGTTTTATAATAAAATGAACACACACAGTGAGCCTGTCTCTTCTCTTACTTGTCAGATTAGGGAGTGTCAGGGGCTGTAACTAATAACTGCAGTGAATGTAGAGCCTGTGTCTATATCAGCCATCAGCTGACAGGGGCAGAGAGGAAGATCCAGCTGAAAGAATACACCAAGACCTTGCCCTCCCTAGGTTTAATGGTATGTGTTAAAATCCTACTGTGGATTACTCCCTTCCTCCTTCCCTTGCTCCAGAGTCGCCTTCACTAGCTGCTGCATGTTAGAACTACAACATGCCTCATCTGCATCAAGACTTTTAAGGTGTGTTTAACAATCTACTTCTTTTAGTCCAGACATGGCCAAAAAGTTAAGACGCAGGGTTGGAAGGAAACTAAGGCTGTTAAAATGGCATTATCTGGCTAATCGTACGGTTGATGCAATTGTATCGACTATACGATTAGTCAATAGTGCCTCTACAGAGCCGCAGCAGGGATAGCTCTTGAGGGGCCGACTTGAGCCAGGACTGAGCAGTCCTGGCTCCGTTGAGGGGCCGACTTGAGCAGTCCTGGCTCCGGAGCTATGCGTGCTGTGGCGATGCATTTTAAATGTAGTAAGAATCACTGGGCTCTTGCTACATTTCAAACACAGAGGCGCAGTGATCAGCGCAGGCTAAGACTGCTCAGTCCTGGTTCGTGCGGAGTCCAGCAGCCCCTGTCTTTGGCCAGCCTTGGCTGCTGTAAACAGACACTGCTCCTGCACCAGCCCCTGTTTGCTGCGACCAGCACCAGCCCCTGTTTGCTGCGAATGGGTTGCTTGGCGGCAACAGCCCCTGTCCGAAGCGGGGGGACTCCCCCACTGGGACCCCCTGTGGACAGGTTGCTTTGCTGTAGTATCCCCTATCCTCCCCCCTGCTGCCTCTGTTAGACAGACAGCACCCCAGAGATGCTGCTGGGAGAAAAATCTCCTTTTCCCCCCCTTGCTGCCTCTCATAGAGGTAGCAAAGGAGGGGTGCTGCATGGGGCAAGTGGGGACTGCTTGAGTCCCTGCTCACACAATGCTCCCTGCGGCACTTCTGCTTTTGAAATGTACAAGAGCCTTGCAGGCGTAGTGACTTGCCCAAGACAATGGAGTTAGGCCACTGACACAGCCAAGACTAAAATCTACATCTTTCTGGCTCCTCGCCCAGTGCCCTATGCTCAGCACCAGGCTGCCTGAAGTGGAGCTTTGAAACATGGCTGTCCAAAGCCCCGTCGCTTGGTTTCTAGCCCCACCCGAGTGCTTCATTCTTTAATTCTAGAAGATTCAGAGTAGGAGTCCTAAAACCGCAGGCAGGAGTTCCCCTGGTTGACATGCTGCAGTTGACCTGTGCCTTCCTGCATGAGGACACTTCTCCATATGGCCCTTCTAGGTTTGTCTACCTTGCTTTGGGGGTGAGGGTGGGCTCTGCCTTCTCTCATCAGCTCTAACCAACCTTGGGCTGTGAGACTACATTAATGGAAGCCAGGCAAACCCCAGTGAAGAGGAGATGGGGGTATGTGTTGTCCTTTGGCTGTGGGTGTTTTTTGGCTGCCTCAGAAGAGTGCAGGGGTTGGCCAGGCCTGAGACCCAGACCCAGGGGAATCGTGTAATGGGGAAGTTTGCTCTGTTGCTACTGCACAGCCTGTTCTGTGTGAAGAAGCCTTTGGTCTCAGACTCATATGAGGTCTCTTCCAGTTCTATGATAAGGGGATGGTTTGATGAGATAACATGATCTTGGTAAGTAATTGACCATTCATTATCAGTGGGAAATAGGTCAATGGAGGAATGATAGGAGTTACTATTGAGAACTTTCTGGGTGTCTGGCTGGTGAGTCTTGCCCACATGCTCAGGGTTTAGCTGATCGCCATATTTGGGGTCGAGAAGGAATTTTCCTCCAGGGTAGATTGTCAGAGGCCCTGGAGGCTTTTCGCCTTCCTCTGTAGCATGGGGTACAGATCACAGCTGGAGGATTCTCTGCATCTTGGGGCCTTCAAAGTATTTGAAGGCTTCAATATCTGAGATATAGGTGAGAGGATTATTCTAGGAGGGGTGGGTGAGATTCTGTGACCTGCACTGTGCAGGGGGTCAGACTAGATGATCATAATGGTCCCTTCTGACCTTAAAGTCTATGGTCAGCAGGGTTGTTAAACCAGCTCTAAATTCCCACACACGATTCAGTTAAATCTCTGCCAGTTCCTTGCACTAGAACAAATACTCTTTCCAGCCCCTTCCAAAGGAGAATCAGGGAGTGTCTTGGCCACTATTGAAGCAAAGCTTTCAGGCCATCCCTGAAATTAACCATTCCCATGTCACAGATGGGGGAAACTGAGGCACGTGACTTGCCTCAAGCACTCACACATCTGGCAGAACTTTTACCTCCTCCTTTCCATCCCTGCATGTCCCACCATCAATGTTTCCTCTAATCTTTTCCATCCATGTGCAGAATAAAATGATGTGCACCAAGGCAGGTGTGGCTGTTACACCACCTGTAGAAACACAATCCTAGCTCTGGGCACATTACTAATCAGCTGGGTGGCACATCAGCTTGACAGGGAACATGGTCCACCATCCTTTCTCCTTAGCCCAGGTTTCTGCTAACAGGACCCGGAGGGGTGCTGCTAAAGTAACTGCAGGCTATCTTTGTTGTTGTTGCCACTCAGAGCAAAATGGTCTCATCCAAGAATTCGGTGTCGGTGGCCCAAACTCCCAGGCTCTGCAAAAAGCAAACACAGCAGCTTTGTCCCAAGAACAATGTTTCCAAGTCAGGATTTCTCACCCCCTCATCCCAATGGCTTGCTCTTGCCACCCGCTTCACCCTTTCTTTTGAGGAGGAGCTTGGCAGTGGGCAGGATCAAGGAAACAATTGATGCTAATGATGAACAAACCAGCTTTGCCCTGGACGTGCAAGTGGGAGCCTCGGCAGTAAAACCAACAGGTTGATCTGGTGCATCCTACATGAATGGTTTATCCTAATGAATTGCATCTTCCACATGAATGGCTTATCTTAATGTTTCCTCCTGAGTCTGCTGTTCCCTCTGCTTTTGGCATTGAGAAGAAAGACAGTTAATTGTCCCTGAAGTTGCCTCTCCTGGTGATCTGGGTAGGATGGATTGCAGGCAAACAGGTGAGAGTCAATGGGGTGCCTTGCACACGTGTAATTCTGCTGGGGATTGCTTTGAAGGAGCTGAGAGTGAAGAAGAGACTGGCCCTGTCTGATCTGTGTCACCCTGTGGGTGCAGGACTGTCAAGCTAGGACTTGACAAGAGTAGCATTATGTGTAGCTATTGGGGTAGCAGCTAGGAGCCCGTGTCCTGCACTGAGACTCCATGGTGCAAGGTGCTGTGTGGACACAGAACTAAAGCTTGATCCCTGCCTCCAAAGGGTGTCTAATATTTAGAGACAAGGTGGGGGAGGTTCTGTCTTTTATTGGACCAGCTGCTGTTGGCAAACAGAAGGGACTGATGTAGGTAGCTACAACACTGCATGCATCTCTCAACTGTGCGAATTTCACCCCTCCACCTGGGGTAATCCTACAGTGTGCTTCCCAGGGCCGGAGCTTAGAGTTTTATACTCCTCTCCTGCACCTCTGCGAGGTAGATGTTATCCTCCTGGTGAAGATGGGGCAGCTGAAGGCAAGTGCCTTGAATTTAGACCCACAAGGAGTCCTGGGGCACCTTGGAGACTAACAAAAATATGTGTAGTAGCATGAGCTTTCAGGGTCCAGGACCACTTCTTCAGATGAGCCTGAGTGGAGAAAAAAAGACTAACACAGCTATCCCTCTAAGACTGAATTGAGAGTATTACCCTGTAAGGGTCCTGTGCATTGGTCACAATGAGATGATTCTGTGTGCCTGGCTGTAGGTCCTATGTATCTCTGTGACAGAAGTAAGGAAACAAAACTGGAGAGAGAACTGGATTCAGGGGTTTTATGGAAACTCCCCCCCCCCATGGCCAATTGCAGCTGAACCCATCCCTGGCTTCAGGGATGAAGGTGCTTTTGTCCACTAGGGGTCAGGCTTTCCCTGGTGCCTGCAGATCCCATTGCCAGCAAGGTCCTTGGGATTACTGCAGAGGTGGGCAATAATTTTTGATGAGCAACTACTCCAAAATTTTGGTAAGTGGTCACGGGCTGCACTTTTCTATGGAGGAGGATGAATCCTGAGCCTGAAGGCCTCCATTGGCTCTTCCACTGCTCTGCAGAGCGGTGTGCTCTGGAGACAGGAGCCTGTCCCCTAATATTTTGGGGGCCCAACATAGAAGGTCTGGTTTTTAGAGGGTGGGACA